TAGGTGTGCGTGTTTGTCAAGTATATTTATATAGCGTTTTCACAATATAGATAGCATCAAAGCAGCTTCACAGTATCAATCAAAACATAATAACAATGTTCGTTTCTTAGTGGAAAAACTTCCACGTTTGGTAGAGCTGATCAAGCGGATTACTGATTGGTTAATTCATTTGAATAATTTGAAATATTAGTTTGTATAAATCTGTGCGCAGGCTAACCTCAGGATAAACAGAGAGAAAAATATTAGCGTAGACGCCGTTCTTCTTATGATGTAACGAGTACATCAGGATTTACGGGACGTGTTCCCGGTTCCAGCTGATCTAATCTATGCAGCCTAACGTTGAATTATAGAAGTCTATAGTGTGTTATGTGTGTGCGAGGCCAAAGAGATGTGTGTTTAGTCTAGATTTGAACTGCCAGAGTGTGTCTCCGCACCGGCCGCGGGTGATGAAGACGTGAGGTGGGAAAGGTCGACAGGAGTCTCAGATTAGCGTCACACACACACTAGGGCGTCTCTGCGTGTGCCAGCGGATCTGAGATGCGGTTTAATCCGGGCCTGTGTCTCGGCCAGCAGGGGGACAGCAGATGTCCTCTAGAAGTGGGTCGGCTTTGTCGGATCCATCTGGCCCTGTCATGTTGAACTCGGATGCTGGAAATATGATTTCTTGAAGGCGACCTTTGGGATGACGGCCCTCAGCCGGTCTGAGGAACTGGGTTGTGCAAATATACTTGTCTGTTTGCTTTAGTTTTCTGTGTTGGTAAACAGTGTCACAGACCGGCTGTGTTGTTCCTGCTTGCCTAACCCTCCTGACCCCAGTGCATGACAGCGAGGGCTGCCCCCAACGGTCCTCTAACCCATAGTCCACTAGAGGAGGCCTGGTCGACTAAGATTTTATTAGTCGGTTAGTTGCAACAAAAGAAACTCTAGGAATTGTCAAATTAACGCAGGCTGGAAATCGAAACATTCGCCTATCGATCATTTATCGCCATCAAATATGGCTAATATCACTCGAAACATGTAAGTAGCAGCAACTTTACAAGTCCACTCTATTGTCCGATTGTCGAGAGTCGGCATCGTCGTCTTAATATCTGCAGCCGAAAACATTACCAGTAAATGATTCAAATGTTCAGACAGTCTCCTCCAGTTTTTCCACGTCATCGTTATCATTATATTTGCCGGTGCGCGGTGTCCATGTGTGCGCTGATTAGGCTATGTATTTTATATAGCCAATTAAAGGCACATTATTGTGATTTATGGATTATTAATATAAACGCGCGATTAGTCGACTAATTGCTTAAAGGCGCACTTGGCAACTATTCCAACCTAATAAAACCGTCCAGAAATCATTTGGATGGTTCAATAACCTGTTCGGGAGAGAATGGTGGCTTCCCCAGGCAGAAGACCACCCTTGCAACAACAGACTAGCGTCCCGGTAAGTTGGAAATAGAAGTCTTATGAGAAGCGAGAGCGAGCAAGAAACACGAACTGCTTTATGGCGATTCGACATAATTCTATGATACTGTATGACGGATTACCCACTCGGTGGACACGGCTCCACACGATAGAGTTGGCCAGCTCTGATAATAACAACTGCACATGAGCAGCGGTAGCTATAACGCGGAAGGAAGGTGCCGCAAGTGAGTTTTTTTATGCCAGTGTTGTGAAATGTACGCCGCACAGCTGTAGGGGGCGCTGAGGAGAGCACTTGCGATAACAAAAGTGAAGAAATGAATAGAGTTGCCAAGTGCCCCTTTAAATGAACGACTACATGTCGACTAGAAAAATCTTTATTCGAGGGCAGCCCTAGAAAGCATTAAACCTGAACTGAGGGAAAACAACACCAGAGACTCTCAGATCACACACAAGCTCCAGCGTTTCACAATCATAGTGTTTGACACCATTCATCTTTGGTGCTTTCTTTAATTACACCGTTCCCTGGAGATCGAGCGGGGTAGTTAACCAGTCAAACAAGCAGTAAAGCAATTATTGGGTCAGAATGAATACAATTCTGACATCTTTAATCACTAGGGGAGTCTGTGCCTGGAGAAAAACAGGAGAATCCGCTGAGATGAAGTCCTGTTGCTGTTTAACACTAAAGTAATAGAGCTTGTGGATCTTCTGAGATCGTCTCTAATGTTGACCCTTTAACCTCAGGCTGCGGTTTTACTGTCCTGCGGTCAAGCTTTAGTTTTCTGTTTAATCCATGAATTTATTCATATAACAGTGCTGATAATGTGATAATGGTCTAGATCAGAGGTTCTCAACTGGTGGATCACGACCCAAACATATGTTTCAGCTGCTGTAAGACACGCTATAACCCAGCAAGCAACATCCGTCATTTAACCATCTAGGTTAACTACAGACCCGATATAGTCCGGCTATGAGTAGGTTAACTACAGACCCGATATAGTCCGGCTATGAGTAGGTTAACTACAGACCCGATATAGTCCGGCTATGAGTAGGTTAACTATAGACCTGATATAGTCCAGCTATGAGTAGGTTAACTATAGACCCGATATAGTCCAGCTATGAGTAGATTAACTATAGACCCGATATAGTCCAGCTATGAGTAGGTTAACTACAGACCCGATATAGTCCAGCTATGAGTAGGTTAACTACAGACCCGATATAGTCCAGCTATGAGTAGGTTAACTACAGACCCGATATAGTCCAGCTATGAGTAGGTTAACTACAGACCCGATATAGTCCAGCTATGAGTAGGTTAACTACAGACCCGATATAGTCCAGCTATGAGTAGGTTAACTATAGACCCGATATAGTCCAGCTATGAGTAGGTTAACTACAGACCCGATATAGTCCAGCAATGAGTAGGTTAACTACAGACCCGATATAGTCCAGCTATGAGTAGGTTAACTACAGACCCGATATAGTCCAGCAATGAGTAGGTTAACTACAGACCCGATATAGTCCAGCTATGAGTAGGTTAACTACAGACCCGATATAGTCCAGCAATGAGTAGGTTAACTACAGACCCGATATAGTCCAGCTATGAGTAGGTTAACTATAGACCCGATATAGTCCAGCTATGAGTAGGTTAACTACAGACCCGATATAGTCCAGCTATGAGTAGGTTAACTACAGACCCGATATAGTCCAGCTATGAGTAGGTTAACTACAGACCCGATATAGTCCAGCAATGAGTAGGTTAACTATAGACCCGATATAGTCCAGCTATGAGTAGGTTAACTACAGACCCGATATAGTCCAGCTATGAGTAGGTTAACTACAGACCCGATATAGTCCAGCTATGAGTAGGTTAACTATAGACCCGATATAGTCCAGCAATGAGTAGGTTAACTACAGACCCGATATAGTCCAGCTATGAGTAGGTTAACTATAGACCCGATATAGTCCAGCTATGAGTAGGTTAACTACAGACCCGATATAGTCCAGCTATGAGTAGGTTAACTACAGACCCGATATAGTCCAGCTATGAGTAGGTTAACTACAGACCCGATATAGTCCAGCAATGAGTAGGTTAACTACAGACCCGATATAGTCCAGCTATGAGTAGGTTAACTATAGACCCGATATAGTCCAGCTATGAGTAGGTTAACTACAGACCCGATATAGTCCAGCTATGAGTAGGTTAACTACAGACCCGATATAGTCCAGCTATGAGTAGGTTAACTACAGACCCGATATAGTCCAGCTATGAGTAGGTTAACTACAGACCCGATATAGTCCAGCAATGAGTAGGTTAACTACAGACCCGATATAGTCCAGCTATGAGTAGGTTAACTATAGACCCGATATAGTCCAGCTATGAGTAGGTTAACTACAGACCCGATATAGTCCAGCTATGAGTAGGTTAACTACAGACCCGATATAGTCCAGCTATGAGTAGGTTAACTACAGACCCGATATAGTCCAGCTATGAGTAGGTTAACTATAGACCCGATATAGTCCAGCTATGAGTAGATTAACTACAGACCCGATATAGTCCAGCTATGAGTAGGTTAACTACAGACCCGATATAGTCCGGCTATGAGTAGGTTAACTATAGACCCGATATAGTCCAGCTATGAGTAGGTTAACTATAGACCCGATATAGTCCAGCTATGAGTAGGTTAACTATAGACCCGATATAGTCCAGCTATGAGTAGATTAACTATAGACCCGATATAGTCCAGCTATGAGTAGGTTAACTACAGACCCGATATAGTCCAGCTATGAGTAGGTTAACTATAGACCCGATATAGTCCAGCTATGAGTAGGTTTACTATAGACATGATATAGTCCAGCTATGAGTAGGTTAACTACAGACCCGATATAGTCCAGCTATGAGTAGATTAACTACAGACCCGATATAGTCCAGCTATGAGTAGGTTAACTATAGACCCGATATAGTCCAGCTATGAGTAGGTTAGCTATAGACCCGATATAGTCCAGCTATGAGTAGGTTAACTACAGACCCGATATAGTCCAGCTATGAGTAGGTTAACTATAGACCCGATATAGTCCAGCTATGAGTAGGTTAACTATAGACCCGATATAGTCCAACTATGAGTAGGTGAACTATAGACCCGATATAGTCCAGCTATGAGTATGACTTCTACCCGAAATAACCTTGAATTTGATTACATGTTGTTTTTCCTAGAATAACTTGCTAGATGTATCATGTAACATCATGTCATGTAAACAAATGTCTATGAAATTTTCACTGATAGCCCAAACTTTGCCATGTTTTAGCCTAGACATCAGGCTGAGTTTGGACACTATTAGACGTGTTTTAAAAGTAAAATTGCTTGCTGGGATAGATGTTCTGATCAGGAGAAATGCTCTCCATGTGGCTGTTGAGGTCAAAGATATCAGACGGCTAGCGATCCTCAAAAACCGTCATCTTTAAGATGGAAGAATGGGAAAAGAATGGAAGCACTGCAGTAAAACGAGTGCAGCGCGGTTGGGAGGATCTGGTCTAGGGTTAGGGTTAAGCTTCTTCTGCTCAGGAGTTCCTCATGTGGTTCTGTGTTTTGCAGCTTCAGATCGAGCTGGATCAGGAATATCAGGACAAGTTCCGGAGGCTCCCGGTGGAAATCCAGGAGTTCGTTCAGGATTCTGCTGCCTGTAAAGCCCAGTCGAGGGACAGCGGAGGCGGTCTTCCCGTTTCCACGGAAACGCTCCGGTCGGAGTCGGGATCTTCTGAGAAAGGGTTCGACACGACACTCTGAGCTTGAGTTTGTTCTTCGTACGCTGTTGAGTTTCCCTGGTTTAATGTGCACCTTTAGTATGACGACTGGATGACCTACTTGAACAACATAAAAATATATTTCTTTTTTCTTACTTTTAAAACTTAGTTTTTACAAGAACTTGCTGCTTATGTGGATTTAAACATGTGTTTATGTTTAGACGAGTCTTACTGTTTGAGTCTCTTGCTGATGTTTGAGCAGTTATTAAATATGTAATGTTAGGCTACTTAAGCGCACTACTTAGGTCACATCCAGACATGGCTGCCACTGTTTAGACTTTATATGAATTTGTTTCTTTTATATAAGAAAACATGGACATTAAAACAAGTGATTAATCTGCATGTAGAAAAATGTGATGTGAAGAGAAAACGTAATTTACATTTATGCATTTGGCAGACACTTTTATCCAAAGCAACTTTCACTACGTTCAAGCGACATATTCTGTTAGTTCCCTGGGAATCGAACCCGTGATCCTGCCGTTGCGAACGTTTCATATGGAGATTCTTATGTGCCAGAGGAATATTTGAGCATGAGAAACGGTTTATGACCCTTCTGGTTTGGACCAAAGTAGTTTCAAATAAAGCAGAACTGAAGTAGTGATGTGAATGTTTCCAATGTGAGAAGTGTGTAAGAGGATCTTTGATCAATATTAATGAAGCTCATCTGATGTTTTAAAGCACGAGTGCCACGAAGCGACAGATGAACCGCGTCTCATGATGAGAGTCTGTGCCTTCAACACGTTTACCTGCTTTTAATCCTGTAAAGATCTACACATCTGCCGGCTCTACTGAGGAACGCTTGTGACTGCCAGTATTTCGCTAAATGTTAGTCATAGTTTCTCCGTGTTGAAGTTGCTGTATGTGACGCTTCTTAAAGGCCTGAGGATGAAATAAATGTGGCTTCTGTGTAAAGAGTGTCGCAGTGTGTCGTTCTTCCTCACGCTCTGCCGTTATCTCTCCTCGACTGAAGAGTTTCTGGCCTGAAGATCTGCTCTGAGTGATTCAAGTTAAAGTATGAACAGGACAGACAGAGGATGGAAAAGACCCATGCTGGAAAACCCCAACATAACACTGACAAGTATTAATATATATATATATATGAATCACAACATAAACATTGGGAAAACATCAGGAACATGAACTTAAATATGTTATAAAGTGCAAAGAGTATGCAAAAATAGAGAGCAGCAATTGTAAAACAGTGTGTGTGAGTGAGTCAGTGTGTCTGTGTGTGTGTGTTTCCCCATCGTTCCTGTAACAGCAGTTTCCACAGCATGTTTTATGCACAGATGTGTGTTCAGTGAGAGACTAAAGCACACAGATTCAGCTGGAAATATAATGAACTTAAAAATAAACACAGCAGTTTCAGCAATAACTCTGATGATGATCTTTAATACTTCAGGAGTCTGTCTGTCACTGTAGTGCCCAACACCAGCAAACACACACACTCTCTCTCTCTCGCGCACACACAACACACACTCTCTCTCTCTCTCTCTCTCTCTCGCGCGCACACACACACACTCTCTCTCTCTCTCTCTCTCTCTCTCTCTCTCTCTCTCTCTCTCGCGCGCACACACACACACACACACACACACACTCTCTCTCTCTCTCTCTCTCGCGCACACACACACACACTCTCTCTCTCTCTCTCTCGCGCACACACACACACACTCTCTCTCTCTCTCTCTCTCTCTCTCTCTCTCTCTCTCGCGCACACACACACACACACACACACACACACTCCTCTCTCTCTCTCTCTCGCGCACACACACACACTCTCTCTCTCTCTCGCGCGCGCACACACACACACACACTCTCTCTCTCTCTCGCACACACACACACACACACACACACGATGTTTTGAACACATGTGAGGGAGCTGCTCTGTTCAACACGTTTAATGTGTGATTCTCATGTTCCATTGTTCAGATAATGGCGCTGATGCTCATTGGCTGCTCACAGGTCAGTGGGAGGAGTTATGTAAATATTCACTGTACTGTACAGTGAATCTATATGACAAGTAATATCAATAAAACTGGCAGCTCAAATTCACAGTGACCTGAATAATCAGATCGGTTCGTGTGGGAGAGAGTTCCTCTGCTCGTTCGTGGACAGTAATTACAAACGCCCACAATTCACTAATTACATCTGCAGCAAAACAAACAACAAACATCCAGAGATTCAGATGGAAAACAGACACACTGAAGGACAGATAGACAGATAGATAGATAGATAGATAGATAGATAGATAGATAGATAGATAGATAGATAGATAGATAGATAGATAGAAGTGAGTGAGACAGAGAGAGAGAGGAGAGAGAGAGAGAGAGAGAGAGAGAGAGAGAGAGAGAGAGAGAGGGAGGGAGAGAGAGAGAGAGAGAGAGGAGAGAGAGAGGGAGACATCGTCATCATCTTCGCGCGTGAGGACACTGATACACTGATGCAGTGATACATTGATACATTGATGCAGTGGTGTGTGAGTGTGTGTGTGTGATGCAGAGCTGATGTCCGCCTGCACTGAGGGTTTCCTGCGCGCGTGACACCGAAGAAGATCCACCATCATCGCGCGCTCGCCAGCGCAGGGAATTCTGGCTTTTCCCGGGAATGTTGCGGGCGTTTGCTGATGTGTGATGACGGTAAGAGATTCGCGCGTCTCACGCGGCTCGTGCGCGTGTTATTTAGCTGTGGGGTAGGGCGTGCGCGCGCGCTTGTGTGTGTGTGTTTGTGTGTTAATTTGTGAGGAGAATCAAGGGGAACTGCTGTTAGCTTTCAGGCTAGCTGGCTAACGCCGTGCACGAGATCATGTGTGTGTGAAAGCAGCTGTTTCTCACACACACCGTCCGTCATGTGAACAACACGGTGAAACGCAACTGTTGCTTGTTGACATGTGACTGTAAATGCAGCGCTGATGGGGTGTGTGTGTGTGTGTGTGTGTGTGTGTGTGTGCTCTAATGTTTATCTTCAGACCAGCTCACACTGGATCCTCACAACTAATACTGAGAATTACGTAATGCCTGCTGAATGAAATCTATGAGGTCTTATGCATGCGAGGCCCGTCAAGTGTGTGTGTGTGTGCTTGTGCGTTACTGCAGAAAGCAAGAGCATCATCTGTGTGTGTGTGTGTGTGTGTGTGTGTGTGTGTGTGTGTGTGCGTGTGTGAGAGTGTGAGATGAGATCTGGCACGTATGGTTCAGTATGAACTGTAACAGAGAAACTAACTTCTGTAAGAGGCTTCGCCTATTCTTGTCTCCAACAACTATGAAGAAGAACAAAGTGTCTCTTTAATGATTCACAAGATTTCATTACAGCAGATATCCAGAAATATTTTAATATGATCCCTGATTAATGCTCTCTATATATTCAGTGAATGTGTATATTTCTGTGGCCAAAGATGCATCTGATGTCAATGCAATTCTGTTTTGTGTGTGTTGTCGTGTTTTTAATATATCCACTATATTCAAGATGCAAAATCCCCCCCAAAACAGCTTTTGTGCTTTATTTGAGATTTGACATTTATAATTATGGCCTTGCTTTGTTCTATAACTGTAAATGTTGTAAATATAGAAACCAATGATGTTTAGATGAGCCATCACACACACACACACACACACACACCCGGATCCAGGAGAGGAGTTATTGACTTTCACTAGAAAACAAACTGGCTTGTGGTGCCGGCCGGTTGCATGCACGGCTAAGGCTATATTTCTGTATATGAGATAATGTGATGTATAATCTATATTATACAGCTATATTAATCTATATAATATACATCTATATAATGTGCAATGATATAGAGGTTATCCTGGACACTCGATCTGAAGATGTGTGTGTGTGGTCAGGGATGTAAAGCTGTCAGTCTGAGCACGTCACACCTGTTCACGTGAGTGAGTGTGTGTGTTCAGTCATAAACAGAGGTGTGTGTGTGTGAGCCTGTTCTGCCTGATGGGTTCCTCACGCAGGATCAGTGTGTAGACTCTCTGCTCCGTGCCTCGTGGATTAAACAGCGGCTGGAATCTGTGCAGAATCAGGTTAGTGTCCGAGTTACTCCGACTGGGTTAGGGGACTCGGGTTAAGTATTTGTAAGTGGATTACAACAGCCCCCCACCAGCACTAGACCAGGAGAGCAGGAAGTGTGAGGAATGCACGAGTCTGCACCATTGCTCCTAACTTTGTTTGTTCTTACTGGAACTCTGGGCTGGAAGAGAAACCAATTGTCTCCAGAACTAGGTGTATAAACTACCGGGCTAATATGGGTAGGTTGTAAAGCTGGAGTTGGTACAGGTTTAGATCTAAATTGATAAAGCGATGCCAAATCCAATAATTAAAATGGCTAGGTTAGTGATCCACAGGTGTGCTGTTTGTGTGGGAGCAGGTGTAGGATTAAGTCTGAATTGATTAAGCGAAACCCAACTCTGCTCGGTGTAAAAACCACAGGTCTACTGCGGGTAGGGTTAGAACTGGAGTTGGTACAGGCGTAGATCTAGATTAATAAAGCGATCCCAAACCCATAAATGACTCTGGTTAGGGGACTCTGGTTAGGGGACTCTGGTTAGGGGACTCCGGTTAGGGGACTCTGGTTAGGGGACTCTGGTTAGGGGACTCTGGTTAGGGGACTCGGGCGCACTGAACGTCAGGTTGTGTTGTTGTGAGTGTGAGATTTGAATCATTGATTGAGTCACTCGTAGTTCGTTCTCTATAGTGTCATTGTGTCTGTCATCAGCGCAGGGTTTGTGTGTTTGATTGAGCAAATGTCCAAACGGGTTAATCACTAATAAAGCTTCAATAAAGGGTTTTTTAAACATATACATTTGCAAAAGTGATGTAATGCATATTTTGAGCAGGAACAATGCATTTCAATTGTTAAATAACATTCATAATTGTATTGTGAAATCTTAGCAAAGTAACCTGTTGAGACTCTATATAGTGTCTAACACATTATTATTATATTGTGGTTGTGTGTTTTATTCATAATATGTATAATTATTGCATTTAGTGGCCTGGTATTTAGTATCTTTAGCATCCGATCTAGTTTTCAGCCATTTATTCACTTTTACGTTTTATTTGTTGGTTTAAATCAAGAATTTACATGGTTGTACCACATGATAACATTAATAATGACAGGAAATTTCTTTTTCATTTCAATTACATATAAAACATTAAATACAAGTGTTTGTCTATTGAAGTAGAAGTAGTAATTTGATCAAAAACAGAATAAATCTCATTAGGCTATAGATTGATTAAATACACTGTAATCGATTGTGATGAATAACAACAAATTCATGTTTTATTATATATTGATACAAAAATAATCATCAACTTAAGTCAGTTGAGAATTTTATTCATCAAAATGTTTAAAACATTATATGCACAGCAACCTTAACAAAGCACTATATAATAACCAACAACTACTAAACCATATTCATCAGATCTTTCCGTCCCTCGCCGCATCCAATGCAGAGCATTGCTTTCTTTTGAGGGCGCTTCACACACTCAAGCATCCCCGTAGAGCCGGGGCGGGCAGCTCGCGCCACCTCGAGACCTGAAAGTATACTGATGATCACTGAGTTTGGTAGGGGCTACATCCTAAGTAAATAAAACATGATTAGACGGACAAAATAATCGGTCAGGATAACTATCCTATGTCTGCAGGCTGATAGTCATGTGTGTTACTTATTTATCTGGTAAAAGTGTCGTGCCTCAGGCTATAATGCAAATCGATTTTTCAAATTTGCAGATTCATCTATTGTAGCTTGATATTATAATATTGATGACATGGCTATTATCTACCAACAAACATTGCATTGAATTAGAATATCCAAAACAGTAGCCAATAGGCGAACGTTACTATAAAGACACTGGCTTGTAAACGTGAGCTACGCTATCTTTTGACGTTTGATAAAAATAAAACCCATGAAACAATATTCATAAGACATGCTAAAATGCCAGTGTACCTGGGATAAAGACATTTCACACGCAACGCTGGAGTCTGCCCAAGACGTGGGAACTCCTTCCTTCTGCAGAGTTCGGGGGATCGCTTGTAAACAAATGCAGACGTGCATTCCCTGGTGTAACCATGGCAGACAATACTGTTTCCCAACTGTAGGGGGACCCCGAGAGCACAATTTCAAAAATAACATAATGCTGCTTTAAAGACACTTATTATAAAGAGTTCTCATGACCATAATTGAAAGTGTAAAATTCCATTTAGAACAATAATTAAAAAATAGAACAATAATAGACAATTTTAGCTTAAATGTGTTATTAATTTAGCTTAAATTACGTGTTTTATTTCATATAGGGTCATCAGTTAGAGTTGCGTCACCTGACGCCTGCCACTACTCTCACATGAACTGGCTGATTATATGGGATATGACGGGATATGGCGAGTTTGACAGGATATGTAGGGTTATGATGGGTAATGGAGGGTCATGGCGGGATATGATGGCGATCTGTAAATCAGCATTAATATGTTTCATTTACCATCTCGGCTCCTCTGGATTCGGGAGAATCGGTTTACAATACGCAAGCCTGACGCGATCACTCCTCGGTCACCACGAGTCTGATCGGTCTCAATGACCAGACGCCAATATTTCTGTGCAACATTTCCTTTTAAAGTGATGATTAGGTTTAATTTGTTTTCAGTACATTTAAATAACAGATATTACTTGGCACAACCGTCCAACCAAACTATTTAAAATGGCGTTTTGATAAGAAATACTAAATTAAATCATTTTATGTTTGAACGCTTTCATATTTGATAATTATCTGTAGTTTTGGAGTTGTTGAGATGATGATGTGAACATGACTGTTTTACGATGAGAGATGACAGTAAACACGATCAGAGGACATTACTGTGAGAAACGTGTAGATCTCTCAAATACTTTTTCTAAGTATAGATCCATGTCAGCTGGTACAACAGATGTCAAACTTCTTGTATTTAAACATTCTATGTCTAACTTTCTAGCAGAGACAAAAGCTAATACAAGCCTCCACTACATATCCCGCCATAACCCGTCATATCCCGTCATAACCCGTCAAATCCCGTCATAACTCGTCAAATCCCTACATATCCTGTCAAACTCGCATATGCCATCATATCCCGTCATAAACCGTCATATCCCTACATATCCTGTCAAACTCGCCATATCCCGTTATAAACCATCATATCCCTACATATCCCGTCATAACTCGCCATAACCCGTCGTATCCCGTCATAAACCGTCATATCCCTACATATCCCGTCATAACTCGCCATAACCCATAATGCCATAACCCGTCATGTCCCGTCATAATTCGCCATAACCCGTCATATCCCATCAAATCCCGTCATAACTCACCACATCCTGTCATGACTCGCCATAACCCGTCATATCCCATCAAATCCCGTCATAACTCGCCATAACCCGTCATATCCCGTCAAATCCCTACATATCCTGTCAAACTCACCATATCTCGTCATAACTCGCCATAACCGGTCAAATCCCGTCATATCCTGTCATAACCAGCCACAACCCGCCATAACTCGCCATAAACAGTCATAACTCGTCATAACCCGTAATCGTTGGCTGATACTCCTGTCGGGCGTTTCAACAGTCGAGTGAGAATGATGTGTTTTCCCGCATCTTTCCTGTGTCATGTTTTTTTTTCCTGGTGTGTGTGTGTGTGTGTTTGTGTGTATGTGTGTGTGTGCTGTTGGAAAGAAAAATGCACTATTATTTTTTAATTAGGCAGATGCAAACACAATGAGTCACAGGCTTCTGGCTGTTGTTGTTGACGTTTGCTTTCATTGCACTGTTTTTTGCAGTCAGTCAGTCACACACACACACACACACACTCCTGTGCCTCTATTTGGGTTTCATTGGTCTCTCTGTGTTTGTCTTCACAGGGACCGAGATGTCGCTCACTCCTTAAATCACTTTCCAGACCGCTGGTGAGTTTGTGCTCGATTCTTTCCTCTTCAGTGTGTTTTCACACACACATTAAACAGGAGTGCTGTAGTGTGTATTAAGAGGAGTGCTGTTGTGTGTATTAAGAGGAGTGCTGTAGTGTGTATTAAGAGGAGTGCTGTAGTGTGTATTAAGAGGAGTGCTGTAGTGTGTATTAAGAGGAGTGCTGTAGTGTGTATTAAGAGGAGTGCTGTAGTGTGTATTAAGAGGAGTGCTGTAGTGTGTATTAAGAGGAGTGCTGTAGTGTGTATTAAGAGGAGTGCTGTGGTGTGTATTAAGAGGAGTGCTGTAGTGTGTATTAAGAGGAGTGCTGTAGTGTGTATTAAGAGGAGTGCTGTGGTGTGTATTAAGAGGAGTGCTGTAGTGTGTATTAAGAGGAGTGCTGTAGTGTGTATTAAGAGGAGTGCTGTAGTGTGTATTAAGAGGAGTGCTGTAGTGTGTATTAAGAGGAGTGCTGTAGTGTGTATTAAGAGGAGTGCTGTAGTGTGTATTAAGAGGAGTGCTGTAGTGTGTATTAAGAGGAGTGCTGTAGTGTGTATTAAGAGGAGTGCTGTGGTGTGTATTAAGAGGAGTGCTGTAGTGTGTATTAAGAGGAGTGCTGTAGTGTGTATTAAGAGGAGTGCTGTGGTGTGTATTAAGAGGAGTGCTGTAGTGTGTATTAAGAGGAGTGCTGTAGTGTGTATTAAGAGGAGTGCTGTAGTGTGTATTAAGAGGAGTGCTGTAGTGTGTATTAAGAGGAGTGCTGTTGTGTGTATTAAGAGGAGTGCTGTGTGTGTATTAAGAGGAGTGCTGTAGTGTGTATTAAGAGGAGTGCTGTGGTGTGTATTAAGAGGAGTGCTGTAGTGTGTATTAAGAGGAGTGCTGTAGTGTGTATTAAGAGGAGTGCTGTAGTGTGTATTAAGAGGAGTGCTGTGGTGTGTATTAAGAGGAGTGCTGTAGTGTGTATTAAGAGGAGTGCTGTGGTGTGTATTAAGAGGAGTGCTGTAGTGTGTATTAAGAGGAGTGCTGTGGTGTGTATTAAGAGGAGTGCTGTAGTGTGTATTAAGAGGAGTGCTGTAGTGTGTATTAAGAGGAGTGCTGTGTGTGTATTAAGAGGAGTGCTGTGTGTGTATTAAGAGGAGTGCTGTAGTGTGTATTAAGAGGAGTGCTGTGGTGTGTATTAAGAGGAGTGCTGTGGTGTGTATTAAGAGGAGTGCTGTAGTGTGTATTAAGAGGAGTGCTGTAGTGTGTATTAAGAGGAGTGCTGTAGTGTGTATTAAGAGGAGTGCTGTAGTGTGTATTAAGAGGAGTGCTGTAGTGTGTATTAAGAGGAGTGCTGTAGTGTGTATTAAGAGGAGTGCTGTAGTGTGTATTAAGAGGAGTGCTGTAGTGTGTATTAAGAGGAGTGCTGTAGTGTGTATTAAGAGGAGTGCTGTAGTGTGTATTAAGAGGAGTGCTGTAGTGTGTATTAAGAGGAGTGCTGTGGTGTGTATTAAGAGGAGTGCTGTAGTGTGTATTAAGAGGAGTGCTGTAGTGTGTATTAAGAGGAGTGCTGTAGTGTGTATTAAGAGGAGTGCTGTAGTGTGTATTAAGAGGAGTGCTGTGGTGTGTATTAAGAGGAGTGCTGTAGTGTGTATTAAGAGGAGTGCTGTAGTGTGTATTAAGAGGAGTGCTGTGGTGTGTATTAAGAGGAGTGCTGTGGTGTGTATTAAGAGGAGTGCTGTAGTGTGTATTAAGAGGAGTGCTGTAGTGTGTATTAAGAGGAGTGCTGTAGTGTGTATTAAGAGGAGTGCTGTAGTGTGTATTAAGAGGAGTGCTGTAGTGTGTATTAAGAGGAGTGCTGTGGTGTGTATTAAGAGGAGTGCTGTAGTGTGTATTAAGAGGAGTGCTGTAGTGTGTATTAAGAGGAGTGCTGTGGTGTGTATTAAGAGGAGTGCTGTAGTGTGTATTAAGAGGAGTGCTGTAGTGTGTATTAAGAGGAGTGCTGTAGTGTGTATTAAGAGGAGTGCTGTAGTGTGTATTAAGAGGAGTGCTGTAGTGTGTATTAAGAGGAGTGCTGTGGTGTGTATTAAGAGGAGTGCTGTAGTGTGTATTAAGAGGAGTGCTGTAGTGTGTATTAAGAGGAGTGCTGTAGTGTGTATTAAGAGGAGTGCTGTGGTGTGTATTAAGAGGAGTGCTGTAGTGTGTATTAAGAGGAGTGCTGTAGTGTGTATTAAGAGGAGTGCTGTGGTGTGTATTAAGAGGAGTGCTGTAGTGTGTATTAAGAGGAGTGCTGTAGTGTGTATTAAGAGGAGTGCTGTAGTGTGTATTAAGAGGAGTGCTGTAGTGTGTATTAAGAGGAGTGCTGTGGTGTGTATTAAGAGGAGTGCTGTGGTGTGTATTAAGAGGAGTGCTGTGGTGTGTATTAAGAGGAGTGCTGTGGTGTGTATTAAGAGGAGTGCTGTAGTGTGTATTAAGAGGAGTGCTGTGGTGTGTATTAAGAGGAGTGCTGTGGTGTGTATTAAGAGGAGTGCTGTGGTGTGTATTAAGAGGAGTGCTGTAGTGTGTATTAAGAGGAGTGCTGTAGTGTGTATTAAGAGGAGTGCTGTGGTGTGTATTAAGAGGAGTGCTGTAGTGTGTATTAAGAGGAGTGCTGTAGTGTGTATTAAGAGGAGTGCTGTGGTGTGTATTAAGAGGAGTGCTGTAGTGTGTATTAAGAGGAGTGCTGTAGTGTGTATTAAGAGGAGTGCTGTGGTGTGTATTAAGAGGAGTGCTGTGGTGTGTATTAAGAGGAGTGCTGTAGTGTGTATTAAGAGGAGTGCTGTGTAGTGTGTATTAAGAGGAGTGCTGTAGTGTGTATTAAGAGGAGTGCTGTAGTGTGTATTAAGAGGAGTGCTGTAGTGTGTATTAAGAGGAGTGCTGTAGTGTGTATTAAGAGGAGTGCTGTAGTGTGTATTAAGAGGAGTGCTGTGGTGTGTATTAAGAGGAGTGCTGTAGTGTGTATTAAGAGGAGTGCTGTAGTGTGTATTAAGAGGAGTGCTGTAGTGTGTATTAAGAGGAGTGCTGTAGTGTGTATTAAGAGGAGTGCTGTGGTGTGTATTAAGAGGAGTGCTGTAGTGTGTATTAAGAGGAGTGCTGTAGTGTGTATTAAGAGGAGTGCTGTGTGTGTATTAAGAGGAGTGCTGTAGTGTGTATTAAGAGGAGTGCTGTAGTGTGTATTAAGAGGAGTGCTGTAGTGTGTGTATTAAGAGGAGTGCTGTAGTGTGTATTAAGAGGAGTGCTGTGGTGTGTATTAAGAGGAGTGCTGTGGTGTGTATTAAGAGGAGTGCTGTAGTGTGTATTAAGAGGAGTGCTGTAGTGTGTATTAAGAGGAGTGCTGTAGTGTGTATTAAGAGGAGTGCTGTAGTGTGTATTAAGAGGAGTGCTGTGGTGTGTATTAAGAGGAGTGCTGTAGTGTGTATTAAGAGGAGTGCTGTAGTGTGTATTAAGAGGAGTGCTGTGGTGTGTATTAAGAGGAGTGCTGTAGTGTGTATTAAGAGGAGTGCTGTAGTGTGTATTAAGAGGAGTGCTGTGGTGTGTATTAAGAGGAGTGCTGTAGTGTGTATTAAGAGGAGTGCTGTAGTGTGTATTAAGAGGAGTGCTGTAGTGTGTATTAAGAGGAGTGCTGTGGTGTGTATTAAGAGGAGTGCTGTGGTGTGTATTAAGAGGAGTGCTGTAGTGTGTATTAAGAGGAGTGCTGTAGTGTGTATTAAGAGGAGTGCTGTAGTGTGTATTAAGAGGAGTGCTGTAGTGTGTATTAAGAGGAGTGCTGTAGTATTAAGAGGAGTGCTGTAGTGTGTATTAAGAGGAGTGCTGTAGTGTGTATTAAGAGGAGTGCTGTAGTGTGTATTAAGAGGAGTGCTGTAGTGTGTATTAAGAGGAGTGCTGTAGTGTGTATTAAGAGGAGTGCTGTAGTGTGTATTAAGAGGAGTGCTGTAGTGTGTATTAAGAGGAGTGCTGTGGTGTGTATTAAGAGGAGTGCTGTAGTGTGTATTAAGAGGAGTGCTGTAGTGTGTATTAAGAGGAGTGCTGTGGTGTGTATTAAGAGGAGTGCTGTAGTGTGTATTAAGAGGAGGCTGTAGTGTGTATTAAGAGGAGTGCTGTGTGTGTATTAAGAGGAGTGCTGTAGTGTGTATTAAGAGGAGTGCTGTAGTGTGTATTAAGAGGAGTGCTGTAGTGTGTATTAAGAGGAGTGCTGTAGTGTGTATTAAGAGGAGTGCTGTAGTGTGTATTAAGAGGAGTGCTGTGGTGTGTATTAAGAGGAGTGCTGTGGTGTATTAAGAGGAGTGCTGTAGTGTGTATTAAGAGGAGTGCTGTAGTGTGTATTAAGAGGAGTGCTGTAGTGTGTATTAAGAGGAGTGCTGTGGTGTGTATTAAGAGGAGTGCTGTAGTGTGTATTAAGAGGAGTGCTGTAGTGTGTATTAAGAGGAGTGCTGTGGTGTGTATTAAGAGGAGTGCTGTAGTGTGTATTAAGAGGAGTGCTGTAGTGTGTATTAGAGGAGTGCTGTGTGTGTATTAAGAGGAGTGCTGTAGTGTGTATTAAGAGGAGTGCTGTAGTGTGTATTAAGAGGAGTGCTGTAGTGTGTATTAAGAGGAGTGCTGTAGTGTGTATTAAGAGGAGTGCTGTGGTGTGTATTAAGAGGAGTGCTGTAGTGTGTATTAAGAGGAGTGCTGTAGTGTGTATTAAGAGGAGTGCTGTAGTGTGTATTAAGAGGAGTGCTGTAGTGTGTATTAAGAGGAGTGCTGTAGTGTGTATTAAGAGGAGTGCTGTAGTGTGTATTAAGAGGAGTGCTGTAGTGTGTATTAAGAGGAGTGCTGTAGTGTGTATTAAGAGGAGTGCTGTAGTGTGTATTAAGAGGAGTGCTGTAGTGTGTATTAAGAGGAGTGCTGTAGTGTGTATTAAGAGGAGTGCTGTAGTGTGTATTAAGAGGAGTGCTGTAGTGTGTATTAAGAGGAGTGCTGTAGTGTGTATTAAGAGGAGTGCTGT